GGGTGTAATGAATGAATGGGCGATTCGCGTATGCAGACTTAAGCTTAGGCAGTGAACGAATGCATGAAGTGGCATTATTATGAGATGGCTGATGAGTGGTTGGATGATAGATGGTAATGGCTAGATTAAAAGCAAGCATTGGTGTCGTGCCTTGTAAGCTAACCGAAAGTGATCAGCAAAAGCCTGGCTAAGCTATGCTCTAGGCCAAGCAAGTCAAGACAGAAAGGAGAAGCCAGACAACTGGTTGGTGCATCCCTCTGCTGCTTCACATATAGATGAATGCATGGATACTAATGCAATCCATCATATTGATGGAATTGAACTGAAGTGTGGTAGTGGTGATTGAAATATGTTTGTGTGTTGCTGCTGCATGAAATCCTCATGTAGGCCTAAGCTTAGACTGTAGTTTACCTGTGTTTTTCTTGATTATATTTTCTGTTTTATTGGGATTAATATTACCACTAATATTATCATTATTATTTGCGTTTAGTTCAATGATGTGTAGTATCTGTACTTCTGTACACACAGATTTATTTAATTAGTTGTGAACCTGAGGCCTCAGGCATTTAACCATCTCGAGGCCAGGCCATACCTCAGGCTGTTTACCTAATATGGTCTCTCATCCATTATATCATCCGTTATATTTATGATGCATATAGGTCTTTCATAGAATATACTATTGATTATTATTAATATTTCAATTAGCATCACATTTTGTGATCGTTCAAGGTTCGAATAGTGGGCCAATTGCGTGAACTGGTGTATCGTTGTGACCAAACTACGAAAGCATGCTCAACACATTATTTTCAGGTGAATTTTTATTTATATTCATTATTGTGCATATTCAATATTATCGTTTTATATTATTAAAATGTTTATTACTAATATTACTATTGTTATATCTATTATTCATTATTACTGTCCTTATGATGCTTCTTCAATCATTTTTCATTCATTGATTGCTGTCATAATTATTATCGTTATCTCCATCTACATTTGTATTTCTTTCCAAATCTAGCAAGCAGTTTGCTATGTGCTCAATCAGTTGTTCAGTTCCATCAGAGCACGCCTTTTGGGATGAGAAATATATCATTTTGTAGAGCTCATGTAGCTGATCATGGATCTGCAAATAATTTTTGCTGCGGACAAGGGGGACGCGAGATATGGGGGGAAAAAGGTTTTCAGTGTATTGAAGGAACGTTCTGAATTTCCATCCAGCATCGGCGGCTTGGCCTGGCGGATAGTGCGCTAGACGCAAGAGTGGGTGCTCGGGGGTTCGGATCCCCATGATCGAATGATTTTTTTCTCATCCATCTGTAGCATATTGAAGCTAATGTGATGTTTTGCTGCCCTCCCCACAACTTCTATCGTGGGGACATTTTATATTTTTTTTGGTTTTTTTGGTGTTTTTTGCTGTTTACATCTGATCATAATGAGCATGTCTATTCACAATAAAATGATGGAAACATAAATACAATTTACAATAAGAACACTTCACAAAAGATAACTGATCACAGTTATCGATATCACAATCTTGAGTTACGTCGTTTGGAAAACACACTTGAACCGGTGTTTCGAATTCATCCGGATATTTTTGGATGTATCCACAAGCGTGCGAATAGACATGCTCATTATGATCAGATGTAAAAAG